TATTCTATTCTATTCTATTCTATTCTATTCTATTCTATTCTATTCTATTCTATTCTATTCTATGCTATGCAGCTTTGGCGTCCTGTAGTCAGCTTCGACGGTCAAGCTAAAATGATTACTAACTTTCCATGAGTAGCATGCTGCGGTGGCTGGCAGACAGACGCGCATGTGTGTCTACACGCTAGTATATCCTGTGGATATTCAGTGTTGGGCTCGTGTGTCCGAAGGGTCAATTTTTATGACAGAGAACCCACAGATTCGTGGTTTATCTGCAACTAAGGCTGCCTGGGATGTCAGGATGAGCTCGATTTGGCAGATCCTATTTGGGCTGTATGGTTCGTTGGGGAACATAGCCCGACTGCTCGTCTAGAGAGCACCATTTCCAGCCGTCTCGCCGTGCTTGGCTCGATTGGCATTTTCTGCCAGACAACCCCATTCAAACGTTGCTGTAATCGGTAGAACTATCCCTATTTCCTTTACAAAAGGTCTTTTCATCCAAGCCAGGCCTTTACTGACTCACATTTACCATCAGATTGCTGACGATTCATGCTTTTATCTTTCCACTACTATCATCCAGACTACTTATAGTCAAATTAAGTATGCCTCAATATTATCAGTCGATCCTAACCCACTGACTCAGGGTTTCAATCACCGAGCTTGATTTAAGCATTCCGGGCAAATTGCACCATCAATACTTGCCGACTTTATGCAATCAACGGGGTGAATAGAGTTTTTGTTCAACATCCACTCATAGTCTCGGAGCCTGTTTGAGGTGAGTAGAGGAAGGTGTCATTTGAGTAATGCGTCTTTTGTAATGGAATGTGCACTTGATACGATTGCAAAAGTCGAATGGTCCCTTTAACTTGCACCCTTTTGCATTTGATTCTGCACAATTTCAAGCAATTCCAGGTTGAGGAGGTGCCCAAGGAGGACTACGGTCGTTTCTACAGCGGCGATTCGTACATTGTGCTGAATGTGAAGAAGTTCGACGACGAGCTCATCTTCGACGCCTACTTCTGGATCGGCGCCTCAAGCACGCAGGTCAGTTTCAGCCTTGTATGATTGATCCTCCCGTTTACTTCTGCCTACCAACGGGGCAATCCACGCGCATGCTCGCTTTCTTCGCTGCCACTCACAAAGTCCTCATCGGCCTTTCTTAGTCCCGTGGTCGGTCACGAGCTCCCTGCTTCAATTCAGGCCTCGAATCCGAGTCCATCGAGGCGGGTGGCGAGTGACTGATGCAACGAGTCAACTCGTAAACTGAACCCATCTTTCGGTGGGACAGAATGAGACAAGATCTTGACATCACCACAACTGCGTGTGAAAGACAAACTACTCCTTTGAGGGCTACTTCCTCTTCGCCAGCTCTTCTGGCAACTAGTCGACTTGTAATCAACCAAGTATTCATCATAGACCATCCAGGACTTACTTACAACCTCTCTTGCTCGTTGTTGAACAAGCATCATCTTTCATGTCCGCCCCTAAAAGTGTCCTCATTACTACTGAGCTGTCGATAGTAGTATCAATGGCAAGTATGACATTTCTACCCCCCATGATGGTGCCACACGTCATGGTTGGGTGAAAATAAACAAACTGTAGCCAAGTGTCACTGTCCCCGCCCGAAAACTTGTTGAATGGACTGACTGCCTGTGTTAAAGTGCATTCTAATGTTGTTTTTCAAAATTCCGCCTCAGGACGAATACTGTACGGCGGCCTACAAGACGGTCGAACTGGATACCTTCTTGGACGACATGGCCATTCAACACAGAGAAGTGGAGGGATTCGAATCTACCGGCTTCAAGACTTGCTTCAGAACTTTTGAGTAGGCTCGATTGTTTTTAACACTTTTTTTTTCTTGCTGCCATAATTTGCACATTTTCGACATGAGTAGTGCGTCGAGTAGTCATAAATGCTCTGTCGGAATGCCGAGTTGCGGATACGAAGCCATGTCTCTGCAATTTAACCAAAAGTCATAAAACTTTGTAAAATGAAAATATCAAACAAACTCTGGGTAAATTAAGGACAATGTTCGATTTTTCGTCCCTATCAGAAAAGCTTTAGACAGGCAAGACGAAGTGAAATTCAACGGCATCATGTGGCCAATTCATGTGATTGTGGGAAAACTCAACTCTCAGTCCTTACTCCAATCCCCATAAGCGACTTTGGCTGCTGTCGAGGTTGTTGGCGAATAAGGACCAACTCTGCCAATTTCTGTCCGATTCCTCACCAGGCGCGTGGAATGTCTCAAGGGTCCTGCTGGCTGTTGTCACGCAAAGTTGCATTCCAGCACCAATCGATGTGGTTGTTCGGCATGAATGGCTTTCAGGACGAATCTTGTCTCGACAACCGACGAGGTTACGCCTTGACCTGGTGCGGCTGGAAGGCAAGACAAAATTGGGTCTCCTCAAATGAGGCCGAAGTCGAGCCTTTTTGAAGGTTTGAGCTGAGGGGTTTGGTCGACCAGCTCCCTCAGACGTGGAATGGAGAAGATGGTCCTTGCTCTGCCTGCCAACTCTTCCAGTCCCTCCTACCACGCAACCCAAAACGGACCTGAAATGGAGTCTTCTTGCTACGCATTTCCCCTTGCGGCTGCCCAATCGTACACTTCCAGGCAGAGCTCTTGTCTCTAGTCGACTCTTCCTGTCGTCCGCTTTCTGCAATGTTCGTTGCATATCTGCCCGGTTCACTGGACACAACGACAGACGAAATCCTACAATATTGTCAACATCTTTTTCATCGTTAACATCTCCGACATCGTCAACGTTGTCAAACTCGCCCAAATCGTCAAGCTCGAGCCCATCATCAACATCTTTGACATCTTCGATAGCATCGACATCAACGACGACATGACCAAGACGCCAACACGAGACAAGACCAATGCGACTGAGAGCAAGCGGGTCTTTACGAGTCCTTTGGTTTGTTGCAGACAGAATGTTGGAAAAGACCCATACACACTTGATTGATAGACCCAATGAGAGAGTGAAAAAGAGAGAAGATGCAGAGGCACCGAGAAACAGTAGATGATGCGACCGGTAGTTACATTCTCCAAACATGTCTGTCCAGTTCAGCTACACGACCAGACCTTCATTTCGTATGAAAGTGCATGATGAAGAAATTCAAAGGTCATTTTGACGCAGTCCAAGAGACATCGTCTCTGTACCTTTTTGTGTTGAAGTCAAGGCTATAATCAAGAGGTAAGATAGATCCGGATAGTCTTGCTGACCTGAAGTTAACTTGAGACTTCTACAAGAGTGAGTTGCAGGTCTGAAGAGAAGTGTCAGTAGTACAAGATCATGCGCTTATTTGTTGCTGTGAAGAAGAGCTATGACACACACACTTACATGTGGAACCAGCAGCCAACAAGTAGCCAATCACATTATCGGATGCAAAGTTGGGTATAGAAAGTAAGTGGGACTTTAGCCGGCCGCCTTTCTGGGTTTTGTCTATTTTGTCGATTGGTCATAAATGTTGTTTTCTGGTTCTGACGATGTCCGTCACGACGGGAGGGACAAAAGCTGGGCAAGCATGCATCGTGGTTACAGAAAGGTGAGCCAAGTGCTTCTCCACACGATCCAACAGTCGCAAGTTCGAGGCAGCCCACTTTAGGT